AGAAAAACGACGAAAGCTCTATGACCATATCATCCAGCTCAGAGAACAAAACACCATCTCATAGTTGACCTGTCTGAAATTTACACTGAGGATGTTGTTTAGTTGTACAAATAACTATTAACACATTGTAATCAATGAGAACACAAGTGGGGATAACGAAGATGTAAAACAGTTAGTCCCTTTGATAAATTTTGATAGTTTAATAAGAAGACAAAGATCATTACAAACTATGTGATGATATATTATCGCAATATATTTCGAACAATTTGATTACAATGACCAGCGAAGTTCAACCAGGTCTGTTGTGAGATAGTAACTCACTGATGACAATGGTGAATATATCACTCGATTTCGTGGATTAGTTGAAGTTAGATATTGACATTATTGAATGCCGTCCAGCTCAGTGGTCTGCAGTTTAGGCGTTCGCTCTCGAGACTAATAGATCCTGGGTTGGAATCTCTCGATGCGGAATCGTGGATGTACACTGTTAAGGAGTCCCATAATGGAACGAAAACGCCGTCCACTACTTCCAGATTGTCCATGGTGATCTAGCTTCAATTGGCTCATGAATTCAACTATTATAATATTCACAAAACCCCTTTCTGATTATTTTATATTCTACTTTTTTTTAAAAGGATCTAAAAGACGATTTGAAATCGGAGACTAGTGGAGATTTTCGTAAAGTTTTATGTCAGCTAGTTGTTGATACACCTTATATGTTGGCTAAATCATTATATTATGCAATGAAAGGCTTAGGAACAAATGATCGTGTACTTATTGAAATATTTACCACATTATGGAATGATGAAACAAGAGCTGTAGCTGATGCTTATAAACAAGGTAAGTTATGTTTAGAAAGACATTTTAAGAAATACATTGTTTGAATACTATTTCCTATATACCTAATTGGGGGGGGGGTTTGGAGGGAGTAGTTTGATCCATCTGGATAAATTGAATTAAGTTCTACAAATGTAGGTGCTTTTGTGTACCTATGGGTGTGTGTGTGTGTATGATTGATACCTCATGGTTGCCATGTGGGGTGTGTTACTGATATCGACAGATATAAATAGTATGTATGGTCATCAAATGAAAGTGAAATGCCTGGCGGTAGAAGTTTAAGAAGATCGAAGCGAATGAGAACGTGAACAAAGAATGATTGGTGTGGAAACGAAAGAACAATCAAGTCTGAGACGATTGACTGACACTTTACAAATGAAGTATTTACTGTATGGTTATCAAATTTTACTAAGATATTTTGTAATGGTGTATTCAAATACATTCGATGGTTACCAATAGTGATCTACTTTACTACAGCCCAAACATCGAAGGAAATTTCTCCTTGAAGGGTCTAAATAAAAAGTTGAATTATTAAGCTACTATCTTGTTGATCTGCAAGTGTGACAGCAAGCCTGACTATCATATTAGGTCAATCATTTCTGTCCGGTTTAAAAACGACGAGGTGGAAAATTAATCACTTACTGGTTATTTGAAGACACATGAATTCTTAATAGTTTTGTAAGAAATTGTGAATAAGTAAAGATAGATGATAGCTAGCAGTACGATCCAGAACACACGTTTCCTCCTATTCGGGACTCCTCATATAGATGTACCTGCATCGCAAAGTTGGCGTTTATTCCGGGATTCGAACCCCGTTCGCTTCGAACTTCATCGCCTTATCCACCTGAAGCGAACTGTACTGCGTTCGAGTGCCAGAGTAAACATCAACTATGGAATGCAGGTACATCCAGATGACAAGTCCCAAATAAAACGAAATGCATATCCTGAATTCTACTACTAGCCGCAATCCATCTCTGCTTACAATGCTTGTGAATTAAGGCAATATTGAGGCAATCCGTACAGTATTCACATATCCCAATAACGGACTGATCAATATCAGTACTAAGCATCAATGGGAAGATTCAAACAAACAATACAAAATGAAAGTGGAATTGTAAATGTTAAATTTCGTCATTACAATCATCCAATCCCTGTGCAGTGGTTTTTACCATTCGTCAAATAGGGAAACTACATGTCAAGATTTTGGAATATTCTTCCACAAGATGATTGGATGGAATATCTTCGATTCTTTCAGTGCTTCTTAGAATTTCCTTGAGTTTACCCAAGGGGCATCCTTATAATTACATAATTTTCATTTATTTTATTTCAATTATATCTCCTATATTTAGTGTTTCAATTCATTGGATAGTAACTTCCTCATGTTTACTGTCTAACTTGTCAATTTTCCCTTGATTTTTTTATTGAGATCATGAATCGAAGCCGTGATCAGTGGAACTAATCCGTGTCGGGTAGAGACAGGTATCTACCCCTCAGTATAATCGAAGATGGTCGCACAATCTCGTGGATTGCTTGATGTTCGACACTAACACTATCGGATGCCGACTCAGTGATCCAGTAGGTTAAGCGTTCGCGCGTGAAACTGAAAACAATGGGTTGGAATCCCGCGAGAGGTATCCTGGATGCGCACTGCCGAGGAGTCCCACAATAGGACGAAACGGCCGTCCAGTTCTTACAGGTTTTCCATGATGGTCTAACATCAATCGATTCATGATCTCAATCAAAAACTTAATAATCTCTATAACACCTATACTGATAATTTTCTCTTACACTGTTCTGAATTGAAATATGGTAACTTCAATCTAAACTTATTCAAATCAAACTTGAATCAGCTTTCAATTCATATTTCTAATCTCAATCAGCTGATGAAACATTGTACACTTGTGTTGAAATTGACGTTTATCAATTCACTCTTGTCTAGATATCTAAGTTCTGTTAGTTTAAATGTTAGTTCTTCATGATATACGTCTAGTTCTGAATAAACCCTTGTTTATCTTTTTCATTCTTAGTACTCAAAGACAAAGGAATTGAAGGTAAGTTATGTTTGTTACATTTATCATCTATTGATATGTTAACTGTAATAGTTTCACTATGGAATTCACAATTGAATTGATACTATCATGAGTCAATTGAAGTTGCAACGGCATCCAACGGTGTTAATGTCTAACTTCAACCAATTCACGAAGTTGCGCCAACGTACACTATTGTCTTCAGTGAGTTGATATCTCACAACAGACCTGGTTGAACTCCACTGGTAACGTCTTCTCACTAGAACTCCAGGATATACCCTCTTTGAAGCCAGTCACTAGTGAGCATATGTTGATTAGTATCAGAAGGGGTTTTGTGGTGATTGTAGTAATGTCATTAGTTGAGATTACGAGTCAATTGTAGCTAGATCACCATGGAAAACCTGGAAGCATTGGACGGCCGTTTCGTCTTATTGTGGTACTCCCCAGTAATGCTCATCCACGACCCCGAATTGATACTATTGTCTTTTGTAAAACTAGTAGTTGTTAGCTTACTATTTGAAATAGTACGTGATCATATATTAGGTTGTTCATTCTTTGATTGACAAGTTTAAGTACAATTTGTAGTACTAATGTTTACATTGATCAGCCATTAAAACAGTAGCAACCAATGTCATACCTGTCTAGTCTTTAGCGATGACTCTATTCTATCGATCATGTTGTACTGTGACTACTAGTCGAAATGACTTTCACCATGTTTAGATATTCGATAGTTAAATTTAGTCCGCAGGAAGCCATACTGGACATAGGTTGGCATTATTCAGCGTAATGTACTTGAACTTTCACATCCCATTGCTAGACTGGTACAAGTAGAGAATAAAAATGTTTTCTTTTTCTGTTTGCCGCGATGTATTTTTAATATTCAGTGGTACAACCGGTGATCAAGATGATATTATGACTAGACTAGACTAGACTAGACTAGACGACCAATGTAGCAGCAAACTCAGCAGCAGTAGGTCTCAACATACACAAAGGGAAAAGTAAGATTCTCCGATACAACACAACATACACCAATCCAATCACAATCGACGGAGAAGATTTGGAAGATGTAAAGTCCTTTACATATCTGAACAGCATCATTGATGAACACGGGGAGATTTGATGTAGATGTGAAAGCGCGGATCAGCAAAGCAAGAGAAGCATATTTACAACTGAAGAACATCTGAAACTCAAAACAACTGTCTGTCAACCAACATCAAAGTCAGAATTTTCAATACAAATGTCAAGACAGTTGTACTGGATGGGGCGGAAACTTAAACAACTACGAAAGCCATCACACAGAGGATACAAGTGTTTATTAACAGTTGTCTACGCAAAATACTTCGGATCCGTTGGCCAGACACTATCAGCAACAATCTACTATGGAATAGAGCAAACGAGATCCCAGCGGAGGAAGCAATCAGAAAGAATCGATGAAAGTGGACAGGATATATATTGAAGAAGGCATCCAACTGGCTCACAATGGAAGCCCTCACTTGGAATCCTGAAGGCCAAAGGAGAATCGGAAGACCAAAGAACACATTACGCTGAGAAATGAAAACGGACATGAGAAAAATGAGCAAAATTGGATAGAACTGGAAAGGAGGGCCCAGGACAGACTGGGTTGGAGAATTCTGGTCGGCAGTCTATGCTCCATTGTGAATAACAGGCGTAAGTAAGTAAGACTGGATACTCGATTGATAGGCTATGCACAGACTAGACACGTATTATACCAGACACATGATTTACAACCAAATATAGAGAACCAGAATATAGGCTATATAATAACTTTAACATAAATGTAAGTAGTCTATACTCAGTAAGTTCAGAATACAAATCAATAATCAGTAGTAAGCTGTTCGCGTCAGTTCACACTCCGTAATCAATCATATGTTACTTTTTTAAGTCACATATCATAGACATTCATATCCTTTTTGTATGTATTACATAATGTTGGTAATACATGGTCAGCATAACGTGCATGTTCATTACTTCCTAACTTACCTACCAACAACCGAGACTTCCACATGTCATCTTGTTTACAGAATTCTATTCTAAATATATCTTCCAAACGTTTGAGCCACATGAGAAAAGTATTTCCACTTTTAGGGTAATAGATGAATTCTAAGATGCTGCTAGCAAATGCATCACAAGACGTACTTGAATTAGCATATGTACACAAGCAGTGAATGTTAAGCTGTTGAGTCAAAAGTGTCCGACAACCGCAACAAGTTTTGCTTGGAGTTGTTTTAGTATTTAGTTGGGCTGGTCATCTGATATGAATATCTTGAATTCGGTTTCCTTTTCCCTTATCACCACTGTTATAATTCTCTCTTATTACAAACCAAGCTATTCTTACTGCTTAATATTCTTGGACTCCAATTCACTCGACAAGTCCCCAAATCAAAACATGGTTAAACAGGAATAACAAGGGGTAGATGGAAATATGAAACACAATAGGAAAAATGTAAAAATATATTGATTATTTTCTTATATGAGAAGATTCTAAAGTGTTCTTCAAGGATCGACTAACATTGATTGGATAAGAATTAGCCAATCAGTGTGCATCAACACCATTATACATTGAGCATACTTTATTTCCAATCTATATCTGGTTCATACATAAACAAAAGATTATCCTCTAGTTTTTGTTTTCTGTTTTACATTTGAATATCTTTCAATAAACAAACAAAAGAATCAGAACGTTCATTAGTTACTGATATGAAAAAAGAAATAAGCGGTGATTATGAATATGCATTAATGTGTTTAGTTCAAGCTGAACGTGATGAGATACCAGTATTACAATTGAAAGCAATACCTGAAAAAGGTATCAATTCAATCATTAATCATGAATTAGCTGAAGCTGATGCTAAAGATCTATATGCTTCAGGAGTTGGGTAAGTTATTGTTATATGTATATGATGATTTGACACGATTTTAAATACAAACATACTTATAGATAATGTGAGGATGACCAACGGATGAACTTGAGGAAGTTCTAAGAAGTTCAGAAAGAGCTGAAGATGCTCCATCCAATCATTTTTTGGAAGAATATTTCAGAATCTCTAAGTGTAGCTTCCCTATTGGACAAATGCTTATAATATTAGAAGGGGTTTTGTGGATATTATAGTAATTTTAATAGTTGAGATCATGAGTAAATTGAAGCTAGACCATTATGAAAAGCCGTTACGTTTTATTGTCGGACTCCTCAACAGTGCGTATACACGACCCCGCCTCGCAGGACCTATCAGTCTCGCGCGCGAACGCCTAAACTCTAGACCACTGAGCCTGCATTGGATAGTGTTAATATTTAACATCAACTAATCCACGAAACTGAGCGACACATCCACATCCTGGAATTCTAGTGCGAAGCAGTGACTATTGGAGTTCAACCAGGTCTGTTGTGAGATAGTAAATCACTGATGATAATGGTGAATGTGTCACTGGATTTCGTGGATTAGTTGAAGTTAGACATCAACACCATTGGATGCCGGCCAGCTCAGTGGTCTACAGTTTAGGCGTTGGCGCGGGAGACTGATAGATCCTGGGTTTAGATCTTGCACAATAGGACGAAACGGCCGTCTAGTGCTTCCAGGTTTTCCATAGTGGTCTAGCTTCAATTGGCTCATGATTTCAACTATTAAAATTACAATAATATCCACCAAACCACTTATGATACTAAAGCAGATTACTAAGGCTGAATCTATAGTTTTCAGAATTCCTATGTAAATATATCATTGCTAACAGAAATATTTTATTCGTCAATAATAAGATTTCAAGTATAGGGGTTGTGGAGATTATTAAGTTTTAGTGAGAAGCCGTGATCAGTGGAGCTAATCCATGTCAGGTAGAGACAGGTATCTACCTCAGTACAATGGAAGTTGGTCGCGCAATTTCGTGGATTGGTTGATGTTAGACACTATTACCACTGGATGCTGGCTCAGTGGTCCAGTTGGTTGAGCGTTCGTGCGCGAGACCGAAGGCCCTGAGTTCGAATCCCGCGGGCGGGATCGTGGATGCGCACTCCTGAGGAGTCCCACAATAGGACGAAACAGCCGTCCAGTGATCCCAGGTTTCCAAAGGTGGTGGTCTAACATCAATCGGTTCATGATCTCAATCAATAAGATTTCAATAAAGTCGTAACTCGGTGTTATTATGGCGTGTACTCCTGATGTCAACAGATATAAGTAGAATGTATATCATCAATCGAAAGTGAAATGCCTAGTGACAGAAGGTTAAGCATATCGAAGAAAAGGGAACAAGAACAGAGAATGATTATTGGGGAAACGAAGGGACAATTAAGTTTGAGACAATTGATAGGTATTTTGCAAATAAAATATTTACTGTATGATTCCCAGATTTTATAAAAACATTCTCTAATGTATAGAAGTACATTTGGTTGTCCCCACTTGTGTTCTCGTTCATTCAATATTAATTCACCAATAACTTATATTACTTACTTATATACTTATGCTTGTTACCCCTAGTGGGGAAGCATAGTTTGCTCATCAAGATTCTCTAAACAACTCTGTGCTAAGCAATCTTTTTCAATTGTTATTTATCCTTTTAATTCTTTAATCTTCTTCTTGTACATTTCCCTTCAGAATTCCAAGTTATGACTTGCCTGGTGACTCTGGGGATGATAACAAAGGTCATCACTACCATAATGTTAGTTTGTTACTGTAAATCATTCCAGTGACGTCTTAACTAGTGAATAGTTTCAAGAAGTGATTCTGAAAGTTTTGGTGAGAAGCTATAACCAGCGGTATTTATTAGATCGATCAAGTATAACGCAGTTACACACTAGTGGTGTAGTGAACGAGTACAAAATTGGGGATAATCAAATATACTTGAATACACAATTGTAGAATGTCTTAGTACAATTTGAGAACTATACAGTACAATATTTCATTCTTAAAATGTTAATCAATCGTCTTAGAATTCATTGTTCCTTTGTTTCCATAGAAATCATTCTCGGTTCTTGTTTAAATAAAGAAAAATGTATTTTTTTATTGAGATAATGAACCGATTGATGTTAGACTACCACCTTTGGAAACCTGGAAGCACTGGACGGCCATTTCGTCCTATTGTGGGACTCCTCGACAGTGCGCATCCACGACCCCGTTCGCGGGATTCCAACCCAGGGCCTTCAGTCTCGCGCGCGATCGCTTAACCTGCTGGACCACTGAACTGGCTGGCATCCAATGATGTTGATGTCGAAACCCGCGAACGGGATCATGGATGCACACTGTCGAAGAGTTCCACAATAGGACGAAATGGCCGTCCAGTGCTTCCAGGTTTTCCATGTTGGTCTAACATCAATCGACTCATGATCACAATCAAAAAAATTTAACAATCTCCACAACCCCTAAACTGATAAAAATGTATTTCTTTATTTTTTCTATAAAGTCGAGTTGGTACTAGTGAAAAACGTATTACACGGGTTATATGCAATAGAACACCATATCAATTATATTTAACATCTGAAATCTATTTCAAAGTAAGTTTTATTATATTTCTGAATTACCGATTTATTTAGTATAGATAAGTTATTCTAAGTATATCTAATTAGATCATTCAATGAATTTGATTCATCACTATGGGATTGTGAAGATGATTAAGTTTTTGATCAAGATCATAAACTGATTGAGGTTAGACCATCATTGAAAACTTGAAACCATTGGACGGCAGTTTCGACCTATTGTGAGGCTCCTCAGCAGTGCGCGGGATACGGACTCAGAGCCTTTGGTCTCACGCGCAAACGCCTAATTTTTAGACCACTGAGCCGGCATCCAATGGTGTTAAGCGTTCGCTTGTGAGACCGAAGGCTCTGGGTCCTAAACCTGCTAGCGGGATTGTGGATGCGTACTGCTAAGGAGTTTCGCAATAGGATGAAACAGTTTTCCAGTGCTTTCAGGTTTTCAATGATGGTCTAACATCAATACATTAATCTACAAATGACTGGTTAACCCAATTTTATAAAAGACAGTTGACATCTTGAGAAGTATTTGCTTGATTAGAATTACCTACGAATAGTTGAATTTATTGGCAATCTCACACTCTCTAGTAAGAATATGACTGTTAAGTTTGTCTTACATTGTTCCTACATGTTCCTTTTCTACACTTTGTATGTTGTTTTATACTACTTATTTACATTCAGTAGGCAGCTGTATGCCAAACAATTTTCAACTTATGTTGTAACTCAAGTTGTACTGTAACATTCTGGAATGTTCACCTATATCTTTAACGTTTATTTTACTTATAATTGTATTTATCATTATAATCACTGTAATTTAATTACTGTAACGATTATCCACAGTTTTGTGCATTTGTTTGAATGCAACAGTTTCCATATTGTTTGCTCTTGGTTCGAGTTTCGGTTGTTCATAAACTGTTACCAAATTTAGACACAGCTATCGGCTGTCTTTGGATTATCGAAGCCTTTGCTATTTTCATTCTTGAACGACGCGTTTAAACGCCTAGACACCTCACAAGTTGGGAAACGCTTTTGTAGACAAATCGTTGTTTTGGAACTTCGATTTTGCGCGTATCTCAATCGGGGTTACTTCGACGCTTCGATAGAATTAACAATGACATCTGAGTATTTTTGATTGTAGGATAATTAGATCTTCATAAATCTGAATTACTGACGTGTACCTTCTTCGAAATACTCTCATATGGCCACAAGTATACAGACACTATCAGGGAAGTCCTACTCACTGTCTTCTCGCCACTGAAGTGTTGTTTATGAAATTGAGATGACGAAAATTTGAATGTCCAGCAGGTGCTCGAACCGGGTTGGTGGACACGGAGAGTCCATCGAGGGGAGTTGGAAAATCCTGATTCCAAACCAATGGTGTATATGAACTCCAAGATCCTGAAGGAACAAATGGTGTATGGACCAATTATTGGTTACCAGTTACCATGGGACTGCATCTTCCTACGTTGCTCCACTGCCTTGTGGATCAAACCTTTAGGTCGAAAACTCTGAATGTTGCCCCCTACGAAAACCACCTTCTTCGGTCTGGGCACCCGAGTAGTATCACAACCCATACACAAATCAAGTGATTCGTGTGACGCATATGTGTTCGGTGCTTCTTTGTACCCAAGTTTATTTTTTTTAATAAATAAATAAATGAGAATTATAGATTAGTGTGAGGAACTATAATTAGGATTCACAGTTGAACGCTAACGTTAGGAATTAGATTTAATGTTATCCTCACAAACTGACATCAACTAAAATATCAAAACCCTATTTATCCAAATAAGTGAATGAGTTTCCCGCTAAAATCCAAGACCTGCTATATTAAATCTGATTGGTTTGTGCACCAGTTATACTCTTGCTGAAATGATACATCTAACGAAACCATCATTTTTAATATGAAGTGAATTTTTCGTTACATAATGATATCAGAAGGGGTTTTGTGAAGATTTTAGAAAATTCACTGACTGAAATCATGAGTCAATTGAAGCTAGACCATCATGGAAAACCTGAAAGCGCTGGACGGCCATTTCATCCCAGTATGGGACTCTTCAGCAGTGCGCATCCACGATCCCGCACGCCACGAGATTCGAACCCGGGACCTATCCGTCTCAGTGGTCTAGTTGGCTAAGTGCCTGGCGCGAGACTGATAGGTCCAGGGTTCGAATCCCGCGAGGTGCGGGATCGTGGATGCTCACTGCTGAGGAGTCCCATACTAGGAAGAAACAGCCGTCCAGTGCTTCCGGGTTCTCCATGGTGATTTAGCTTCAATTGATTCATGATTTCAACCAGTGATAATGATATCATCTAGAAAACATTTGAATAGTTGTATTGTTCGAATATGGAGTTTCACAGAGATGTTCAATCAAATCTTCTACCTTAAATGACAATCACTAGTGAGTATAAGATTAATGTTTCGTTGAAAAACTTCTGATGTTTAGTTTAAATTGAAGTTTATTTCCTTCTATTATTTTAGATGTATGGTAAAACTTTATTGGAACATATTGAATCGGAGACATCAGGTGATTATCGTAAACTTCTTGTTGCTATCTGTAAGTTCAAAAGATAGATTTATTACTATTGATGTTTGAATAAAAATTTGTAATTTTCGTTATGTAGTCATGGAAATTGTTAAAAATTTATTGAGATCATTACTTACTTACTTACTAAAGCCTGTTACTCCTAATGCAGCATAGGCCGCCGACCAGCATTCTCCAACCCACTCTGTCCTGGGCCTTCTTTTCTAGTTCCATCCAATTTTTGTTCATTCTTCTCATGTCTATCTCCATTTCCCGGCGCAATGTGTTGTTTGGTCTTCCTCTTTTCCTTTGGCCTTGAGGATTCTACGTGAGGGCTTGTCTTGTGACGCAATTGGGTGCTTTCCTCAATATGTGTCCTGTTCAAATATGTAAAGAACTTTACATCTTCCAAGCCTTCTCCGTCTATTGTGATTGGATCGGTGCATGTTGTGTTGTATCGAAGAATCTTGCTTTTCGCGTTGTGTACATTGAGACCTACTACTCCGCCTGGAGTACCTCAGATGGATACTGCCGGTCCCAAGCCCGGATAAAGGAGGAGGGTTGGACATGGGTTTAGCGACCCCATCCCGTAGAAAACTAACTCACTAAAAAAACGCTAACCAAAAAATTGAGATCATTAATTGATTTAAATTGGATAACCATTGAAAATATGAAAGAACTGATCTATTGTTTTGTCCTAGTATGGAACTCATCAGAAATACACTTTCATAACCATATCACCGGAGACTGAACGCCTGACCTTCAATATCGTCCGCAAACTCTTGACCTCTAAATTACTGAGCCAGAATACAATCATGTATAAGTTTAACTTTAATCAATTTACAATATTTTGAGATCATATTCTATTGTTTTCATTAGGTAACTCCTTGACACACGACACGTTTAAACTCTACGGATCACACTTTATCACTAAACCCAAAGTCCTGGATACAAACTGTTGCGTTACGGTAGTGTATCCGCACTACCGATAAGTTCTATGCTAGAAGTAAATAATTATTTGTTATGTTCGGTGTCTAGTCCACGTGTCTCTTCCCACCTTTACCTCGTACATAACTTGGCCTAGTCTTCCAACCACACGTGCTTTGATCCAAGGACCACGATTTGCTCTGTAGTCTCGAGTGAACATCGGGATTTCAGTTTCTCAGAAGTTTTATAGCTTAGATCGTTACATGAACTTAATAAATATTCAGAACTTACAGTAGACAACGGTGGATTTTTTTATCGACTGTTAAAAAGCGTTGGGATGATCCAGAAAACTCGTAAAAGCCAAGAAAGGCTCAGGAAATACTAAGAAGCATTTTATCCAATCAGTGTTCACTAGAAGTTTTGCCAGAAACAACATACATATACATAAGAGAAGGACAAAGATTCATTGCTATCTCTTTTTTGGGTATATAGATCTGGTTTTGGACGTTTGATCGCTACCACTTCGGCAAATTTCTAACATCAATCGATTCATGATCTCAATTAAAAACTTAATAATCTCTACAATCCCATACTGATAATTACTATGTGCTCACTATTGACTAGCTTCGTGAGGGAATTCTCTGAGTTCTAGTGAGAAGCCGTGACCAGTGAAACTAATCCGTGTCGGATAGAGACAGATATCTACCTCAGTACAGTCGAAGATGGTCGCGAAATTTCGTGGATTGGTTGAAGTTAGACAATAACACCGTTGAACGTCGGCTCAGTGGTCCAGTAGGTTAAGCGTCCGCGCGTGAAACTGGAAGCCCTGCGTCGGAATCCAACGAACGGGGTCGTGTATGCACACTGCTGAGGAGTTCCACATTAGGACAAAATGGCCGTCCAGTGCTTTCAGGTTTTCCATGGTGGTCTAACATCAATCGATTCATGATCTCAATTGAAAAATTTCAAAAGATTGGAGTTTGATTGTTTATTATTCACTTTGAAAGAATTCAGTGTATCGAGTTCATACCTTGTATCAAGGAGATGTCTTGAGATGACAATGCTGAAAGCTTTTAATCAATTTGACTTTAAACGTTTCGGAATATGTTCTTTGAATAGGACATAGGGCTCTCCTTTCTGTTCTACCAATGTAACCGCTTTGGCAGATACATGTAAATTTATATAAACTGTTAGTGGTAACATGAAAGCGATACCTATTGAGAAAATGGAACTTGTTTTCATTACCATGTTCCATAGTAAACTAGATATTTGGATGGGCTTCGTTGAAAAGTTTGAAATGATTTGTTGAATGTTATTGATTTAGTGAGATATAAAGCATCCGTGATGATAAGACCACTACTGATTGATATTTTATTTCTGTTTAATTAGTGAATAGATCAGATCATTAGTTAAGCTTTGCTAAGCTGAAATGTTTGTGTTTGGTTTACTCTATTTTGATATTGGTTATTTGGCACTTGTGTACCCTATGCGGATTGCCATATGAGGAGAGATGAATAGTGGCTAACAGTGGAATCCAGGACGCATCAACTCTGAGATGCACATACACCCAGCTGATGAGTCCTGAAAGGGACGAAACTTGGGTCTTGGATCCCACTGCTAGCTACTATCATCCCCATTTAGAATGCTTAGTATATGTTTACAATCCATTAAAAGTGTGAATACCATACGTTCAATTCTTCATTTGCAAAATGTCCATCGATTTTCTCCGATTTTGTTGTTCATTCATTTCTATACCAATCACTTTCTGTTCCCGTTCTCCTCTCTTCGATCTTCTCAACCTTCTGCCACCAGGCCTATCACTTTTAGTTGATAATACATACTACTTATACCTGTCGACATAAGTAGTACACACCACAGTAGTAAAAAACGAGTGATAATTGTTTTGATTCCAGGTTCAATAACTAGAAGCATTCATGTTCTTCAAATATGTAAACTAATCAGCTATTTTGACTTTTAATTTGTAATTTCAATAAGAAAGTAAATTAATCATCTCTTTGATATCATACATAAAGTTCTATCATTGTTCTTTGTTGATTCACTCTTCACACTTAGTACGATATGCAATCGATCGTCCCGGTCTAATTGCTGAATGGTTACATGATTCAATGGCTGGTTTAGGAACAAAAGATTATGCATTAATGCGTTTATTAATTACACGTTCTGAAGTAAGTTTAGACTATTTGTAAAATGTTGTTTCAATGAAATGAATAACATAGAAAAAAGGAGAATAGCATGTGATTGATTAGATTATTTAAACTGCCATTAATATTAGCTTCATTTGCATGATGGAACGATCAGAAAAGCTGAATTCATGAATCAATTCAAGCTAGATCACCATGAGAAACCTGGAAACACTAGACGGTCGTTTAATCCCAGTATGGGACACCTCAGTAGCGCGCAGCTACGATCCTGACCCACGAGATTTGAACCCAAGACCAAGTTTGTTATAAGATAGTAGCTCATTGAAGACAATGGTGGACGGTGACACAATTTAGTGGATTGGTTGATGCCGGCTCAATGGTCTGGAGACCGATAAGTTCTGGTTTCGAGTTCTGAGTGCGGAATTTCATATGCGCACTACTGAGGAGTCCTACAATAGGACAAAACGATCGTCCGCTGCTTCCAGGTCTAGCTTCAATTGACTCATTATCTCAACCATTGAAATAACAAAAGACTTAGTAAATCAGTAACGAATTATAACGTCAATGTAGTAAGATGATGATAAAATGTTTATGTTACATTAATTGAAAGTCGATAAGGGTCATAGAGGTGTAAATAAATAAGTAATGTGATATCATGAGTACTTATGAATGAAATAATGACAATATGAGACATAAGTAAAAGGAGGGACGCAGTAATAATAATAATTAAGGCCACGGTAACGATAACGATAGGACGTACCTCTTTTGTACGTATAGTTCTTGCTTGAGTTCATAGATAGTAAGAGCTTTGGTTATGTTCAGGAGTTGAATACAAAGAAATCTAGATAAATTTGAACGAATCATATTTCCAACCTTAAAATCAAATTGTGGATCCGTAGAATGATTACAATTGATTAAGTGTTCAAGTATGAAACTCTTAACTGCTTTTCTCTCACCCTTATAAAATAACATTAGGATATGTTCCCGTATCTATGTTGAAAGTGATCACTGACTAAGGCTCCACAAAAGCAGGTAAACTGGTAAATGTACATAGACGCGATCGGACGGTCTCTTCGCTGAAATCCATTTTTTTAACTTCTTTTTTTAAAGTACATTCGATTAATTCCATATAAATAAATTATTCTTTTTCTCCGTTTACCTCTCCCTCTCTCTCTCCCACACACACACACTGGAATGATTTCCAATACATTACCAAGATTGATCTTCAAGATATAATGAATTCATATGAATCAATTTATGGTAAATCATTATTGAATGCAGTAATAGATGATACATCTGGTGATTATCGTCGAACATTATGTGTACTACTCGGTGAAACATATAATCAATAATAGTTTCATTAAAACAAAACAATATATTAAATCATTTGATTTTGTCATTATTTATTTTATCATATTTAAACATAATATTACAAAATTGTGACCTTGTGTTGATTAATTTAAACACAGAAATATGGATACAAGTAGGCGCCAAGTATATATATATATGCGCTACATTTCGATATTCAATTTGTGTGTATGATGGGGGAGGGGTTGGAATACTGCCCAGATCCACTGCCAGAGTCATTCATCTAGAGATCTAATCCATATGACAGTGTAGTAACATTAAGGGATACGATCTCATGATAGCCAGAGACTAACAATAGGTTCATACGAGATTTGTTCCCTCAGGATCTTAGAGTCTATGTGCACCATTGATTTAGAATGAGGGTTTTCTAACTATCCTAGGTGAATCCTCTGTATACTTGTGCTCTATTAATATCCATATGACGTAATGATATCGCCAGTTAGAGAACAGTGACTTATCAAAAGGACCAATGACGCATAAACCTGTACGAGCAGTCTAGAGTCCTTATTGGTCCTTCTTTCTTCCTAGTCCTGCCTGTTCAGTTCAGAAAACCAATCCAAGCCTATGCAATATAAATGAAGTATTCCAAACATACAAGCCAAACAGACTACATCGTACCACACAATAGGGAACAATATTTGTACAAGATTTAGCCAAAAGTGGCTGTGAATATAGGATAATAATTGATAAACTGGGCATAACTCAAGAACGGTAAATCATATAATAATAGTCTTTAGGTCAAAATAATGCTTATAATAATAGGAACGTGAATAAGTATAGTTTAGTTACTTAACAATTATACAATAAAAAAGGTATAGGATTAGTCCATAAATAGATCACAACAGTTACCATTCATTATTATTCTCAATGGGATAACAAACATACAAGCAGGCGCCAAAAATATATATGCGCTACACTTTGTCATTCGATTTGTGTGAGAGCTGGAATACTGCACGGATACCCAAACCGAAGCAGGTGGTTATCTTAGGAGGTTAAACCTCGAGCCTTCCACTTAGAGGTCTAATCCACATGACAGTGGAACAACATCAAGAGATGTAGTCTTATGGTAACCGGTGACCAACAATAAGTTCATGCTCCATTTGTTCCTTCAGGATCCAGAAGTCCATGTGCACCATTAGTTTGAAATGAGAGTTTTCCAACTCCATTAATTTGATCATCCATAACCACCTACCCTCGTTAAAGCACCAGACATTTGCTTTTCGTCCTCTCAATGTCTTAAGCAACACTCCAGAAGTGAGAAGGCAGTGAGTAGGACTTCCTTGGCAGTGGTTTTATGCACGTGGACATGTGTGAGTATTTCGAGAGGGAAAGTTAATTCTCTCCACCCTCGACTATACCAGGGCATTAAGGGGGGCTATTAGCATTGTAAGTAAATCACAGATTAGCAATTATTCTTCTACATCAATAAAATCTCTGCAAAATTATAAAACTTTTATCCTGTCGAGTTCCAGACTTCTTATGTCGACTTCATTTGGAATGGAAGATAATGTATATGGTTCATGAGGTATCGGTAGCAAAAATAGACAAAGAATTGTTATGTAAACTGGGACCGTTGTCAAAAATGAATTATAGTTTCCAGACCATCGAAAAACCTAACTAATACTGTATAAAGATTTCGCCATTCTTAATAGTACCTTCTAATTTTAGTCCACTTTGAATGGGAATCAAAAACTACCAAGTAATCAATCAAGGTGATCACGAGTGTTAAGCGAAGTACGGGGGCGGTTGTCACGTCCCGAAAACAGTTTGCTCTAAAGCTTTAAGTTGGTCGCTCTTCATGTTGCCTTTCTCCAACTGACACTTATCTAGCATGGTAGCACCTGAAGCAACGTATTCCAACCAATGTGATTCGATCAGGTTGACACGGTGTGTAAGCTCAACGCCACCACATCAGATTAGCAATTAAGTTCGAGATACTATACAGTAAAGCATAACTGAGTATTGTAAAACACATGTTCACTACGAGCTACATGCAAACAGGATATGCAGAAGGTTGTTTTCGCTACCTAATGGAAATGGATGCATACGTTTACGGAATGAGGCTTGGAAATCAGTTTTGCAGTTAACATCTTCAACTCCTGATAGCTAATTTTATGTTGGCTGAAAGTAAATAATCAAAGGTTTGACTTTGAAGCATTTAGACAATTATCCCGGATACATTAACTCGCAGTGCTGAAATAAAAATTGTAGTTTGTTATTAGGTTACGTTATTGGTCGTCATTTATGAACTATTCTCCAAATTTTACATGTCTTAGCGTGTAACTTCTCCAACATATCACTACAAGAAGCATTGTACTACAATGTCAAAATAGTAGACTATTTCTCAATATCGCTATTCCATTAGAATTAAGAAAATGACTGGAACACTGTGACAAAGCATTTTGATAGTTGAATTCAACTGTTCAATGATCTTGGACACTAAAAGCGTCTGTCGACATTACCACCCAGTGTTCAAACTTGGTAGCTGGATGAATTTGAGTGACTTATTTAAAATTGAACACACTGAAAGAAGTGTCTTGCGTTTTCAGAACCATAAGTTAGCTCCTTATGTCCTATTTATCCGGATAGTTTTCCAGTGTAGTCTTGGAGTATCTGATGTATGTGTAGTAACTTTCTTCGTATCATCCGTAAGGAAATCCAGAATGACATTACCAACTTCATTACTTAAAATCTTACGTGGAATATAGTCGTCTTGGTTTGGCCGCTCCTAACTTCCTTCCAACTTATTTCTTTACAGCAGATAACATTGTCTGTCGAGGTAGGTGATGGTTGGACATACGTAACACATGTTCCAGCCACCTGAGTCGATGAACAGCCATAATAGACATCAGTCTTAAGGAACTTACTCGCAATATTCTGACCTATTTCTACATCCTCAATCTAGGATATATTCACTGACTTTTTTCAAATGACTCGGCAATAAACGTAGTTTTCGACTTGAATTTCAGTTAACAAGTATTCATTTGTACATCTAATACAGCTACATTTGACCAAGTGATTTACAAAAAGGTAGGATTTCGTCAAAATACCAATTACGAAATTGTTTAGTTATTTTATGATCAAGTCATCCATTTAGCATCTAAACAGTAACACATGTAAAACGAATGTTTCTTAAGCGATTTATTTATTTATTCTGGTTAGCGTTTTCTAGCAAGATTGTCTTATACGGGATGGCGTTGCTGACCCCACGCCCAACCCGGGCCGGCAGTAAACCTAAAAGAGCTACAGGTGGTGTTGGCCAGATACCATCAGCAACAGACTACTGTGCGAGAAAACAAACCATCTTCAAGCTGAAGAGGAAATTAAGAAACACTCTGTAGGTGAATAAGACATACATTACGGAAATTATCAAACTACATCACGAAGCAAGTGCTAACTTGGAATCCCGAAGGGAAAAGGAAAAGATAAAGACCAAGGAATATATTGTGTCGGGAATCGGAAGTAGACATCAAAGGAACGAATACAACTGGAAAGGATTGCCCAGGGCAGAGTTGGGTGGAGAATGCTGGTGGGTGGCCTATGCTCCATCATAAGGGGTAACAGGCATAAGTAAGTAATTCGTGTGTTCAACAACTCTTCAGACCTCTGATTTAATCCTTCTATACGATGAAATTAACCATATCATGCACAGATACATACACAAGACAGTAGAGAATATAACCATTATTCATGATAAACACAATATCTTATTAGTACAGGGATAATAATCATGCGCTCACTAGTGACTAGTTTCAAGATGGATTTCCTGGAGTTCTAGTGAGAAGCTGCGACCAGTGGAGTTCAATCCGTGTCGAGTGTGCGACAGTTACACATCTCAGACAATGAATGAAGATTTGTGCAAGATCATGAAGTCAGACATGAACAACATTGGATGTTAAAAAATATAATTGACATGTTTATTTCTTACAAAAATGGTAGAATAATATACGTTATTAGTTTTTTTTTGTAATAATAGTTTCAAGAAAGACTAACTGTTCCATTCAATTCGAGAAAACCAATTGTCATTTACAAAAGACCAAGTTTATGCTCTATCATTAATTGGGGCATTCCAACAGATTCAGAATCTTCCGCAGCTGAAAAACAAAAAGAAGGATGGTAATAAAGTAACGATTTAAGTTATACATGTGATCGATTACAAATGTATGTAGAGAGATTGACAGTGATTAAAGAATTACTGAGAAGAAGCAACAGTAGCACATTATAGTTCATCATCTTACCATAATTTTAAGTTTTCCAGTAAACGTTTTGTTCCGGAGACCAACAGGTTTAACTTCAAAACATGAAAGAAACCCCGAAAGTTGAGAGGAAGCATGTTGCCAAATGATTCTTAAAATTGACGAGATAGTTTTCATGTTTCACTCTTTATAATAGTTAGTAGTTCGCCTTAATAAACACTGAAATCTGATGAGAATTTTTTAAAACTATAGATTTTACGAAAACTCATCTGCCATTACAGACAATGGATTGTGGAAACACTGAGAATTATGCCCCCGAATGTCCTCGTACGGTCGAGAGTGGAGAGAAATGGAATTGAGGAAGAAAAGCGAATGTTCGATGTTTTAATAAGGTCGGTGGATACGGAGGATCTACCAAGCATGGTTGGAAAACCCTCATTCCAAACTAATGGTGTACATGAACTCCAGGATCTTAAAGGAACAAATGGAGCATGAACCAATTGTTGGTCACTGGCTACCATGAGATTACATCTCTTGACGTTACTTCACTGTCTTGTGGATTAAACCTCTAAGTGAAATGCTCTGGGAGTGGTCTACTAAAAAATACCACCTGCTTTAGTTTGGGCATCTGGGTAATATTCTAACCCCTCCCTCCTACACACACAAATCGAATGACGAAGTGTAGTGCATATATATATTTGGCGCCTGCTTGTACCAATATTTGTGTTTAAAAAATAAATGTCATAAACACTATACACTCATCAGACAATAATACAAATCCTTCAGTTAAATATCAATTAGTTGGTCACTACTTCAACATAATTTCTCTTTTTGTTAGGTATAAATGAGTGCTGGAGAAATGTCGAGTGTTCATATCAGTCAGTCAGTAACAACGTAAAACGTCGTACGTACGTACATCAGTTCCAGTTGCCATGATACACCATAACAGTGATACAAGTGTCGACTCAAATTCCGTAATGGTAGAGGTAGTAAGAGTATAAGCAATAATCGTAAACATTAGGGTTTGAAGATGTTATTCAAGGAGTATAATCCAGTGAAACAAATTTGGAAAGAAAACAAGGGACATGAAGAATTGAGAAGAATAGAATTTGAGAGAACACAAAGAGTGGATGCACCTGCACCATTGCAAATGATTTTGAGCCATGTCGTTCAAGGTCTGTAACCATCGATTGCTATCGCCTCGTGGATCCCAACCAGGTGATTATTCTACACTTAAGAACATGGCTCAGTCCACTTATCAGTGACATCATGGATTTGTGCCGTGTTTTGGTCTGGCCGTCCTTAGCTTTCTTCCAACCTACTCCTACACCAGAAAACATCGCATGTCGGAGCAGTCGGTGGTTGAGCATAAGTAGTACATGTCCCAGCCATCTCAACTGATGAAGTTCAACTAATTCACCAATTGATTTGCCATCCTTACTGTTGTAACGTGAAGGTGCTGCAGACTGGAGATTAGCGAAGTACCGATCAATCCAAAGACGCGTCAGACACGTAAGGAAGGCCTAAAGTTCTGATTGACCCAGCTTCCCTGTCCAGCCCAGCCAGTTGAGTCCAGAACGCAAGTCAGCTTCTGAGATATGGATCAATATATTTCAAACATACTCTGTTTATATACCAATCAAGCAGACCACATCGTACCATAAAATAGAAAACAACACCAGGTTCTTGACTATTATTTGATGCATGTGACATATTTTCTGGCAAAACGATGGGATCTTCTTGTGAGCTGGATACCTCACTGTCTGTACATGTTTCGGGGACAGTGGGATTTGAACTCGCGACAGGGCATGTTTCTGAATTGGACATTTCTGGACCACTGGGCGGATCATGAATGGCTGCTGTGTCGTTTGAAATACGATTTGTCGAGGATTCATGGAGGCTGCAATCATTTTCCAGCTCACTGTGCAATTGAGAAATCAACCCATCTACTTCCATCGTATCTCCAAAGCATGGGTGATTCAGCAGCTGCGTGCGGAATTTGACTAAGAACTCCAAATGTCGTTCAAGTAGCAGTTGTAATCGATTGGAAGGGAGAGCTTTTTTAATCGGCACCAGCAATCAAAATTACTGTATGAATAATGACCAATGTCGTTCAAGGTCACTGATGACAGTCTGGATACTGATCGGTCGAAATAATTAGACTGAATTTCGTCCAATTATAGACTGACCTTGAAGATTGAGGGTTCAAAAATATTTCTCTACCCTGTCGCTGCTACCTGAACGACATTTGGAGTTCTTAGTCAAATTCCGCACGCAGCTGCTGAATCACCCATGCTTTGGAGATACGACGGAAGTAGATGGGTTGATTTCTCAATTGCACAGTGAGCTGGAAAATGATTGCAGCCTCCATGAATCCTCGACAAATCGTATTTCAAACGACACAGCAGCCATTCATGATCCGCCCAGTGGTCCAGAAATGTCCAATTCAGAAACATGCCCTGTCGCGAGTTCAAATCCCACTGTCCCCGAAACATGTACAGACAGTGAGGTATCCAGCTCACAAGAAGATCCCATCGTTTTGCCAGAAAATATGTCACATGCATCAAATAATAGTCAAGAACCTGGTGCAGTTTTGTCACACGCTAATTATCCCAGTGATCAATTATCTACTAATGAGATTTTCAAGAAATTCGATGACAATGTTCCAGAAGATCCAAACTCTGATGACTTCGGATTGAATGGCGTTTATCCTCACTATCTGGTCAGTCTTACTGGATTCCCTGTTCAATATGTTTTAAATGCGGTCAAATTAATTGTAATTTGGGTTTATGAGGACCCGACATTATTTCGCGGGGGAGGATGGACGCGGAAAATTTTAAAATCCGGATATCAACTCCAGATCTTCAAAAAAAGGGATGTGTTGGGATATTCAGAAAAATATCCCAACACTTACCTAGTACCCGTTTCTTAACAACTTCATTACTAACCCGGTGGTCCCAGGATATACGAGCAATGCTTTGAAGACACCGATAATCGAATAATATTAACGTAGGAATATACTCTTACCGATCATGACTGTTCATATACATTAATTAGTTCGTCAATTCGAAACATTAGAATGACCAAAGAATAAATACAGTTGTGATATGAAATAAATGGAAGACAATGTCAATTTTATACAGTAATAACATATATGAAGGTTAGAAACACCAGTAAATTTCCATTGTATCAATAATGGTATCGATGACATTTGGAAAAATAAAAGACAAATCAATATGTTACCAAACAAAATCTACTTACGATTAATAAAGTCAGATACATCAATCTCATCTAAACTTCCATTTAGCTGACTAGCCAAAGGATGATAAGAATATAAACCAGGTAGACGAGGTTGAATACGTTGCATTATGCGTTGCTCCATAGATAAACGTAATGGTGCATGTAAACCTTGAGCAGAAGCTAAAACTCTCATTCTATTAGCTTTTTCAGCTGCTTTACCAAATTTTGCAAGAGATTCAGCTACCGGATGTGGAAAGTTAGTTGAATCTGCCACTTTAGATCCTGGAATTGCAGCCAATGATGATGCTTGTTCACTTGACCATACAGTAGAACCAATTACATCACCCAAACTGTTATAGACATATAAATAAAAAATACCAAAACAGATGCAAAGTTACACGCCAATCATTTGTAATTGAGTAAATGTTCGTTAAGTTTTAAAAAAATCGTTATGTAATAATAAATAATAAGAAATCTGTCTTAAAGATTATTTCCTCAGTTTGAGGATTAAAACAGTGCTCAAAACTGGTTGATAAAACATTTTTTACTTAAGAAAAAGTACAGTATATTAGTACATTTCCAGAAAGAACTTTAATTAGGTGACCCAAGTATTTAATTCTCAGCACAGATGCAATTGCCCAAATGCCCTGGTACGGTCGTGAGTGAGAGAGTCATTTCTCCCACTCCAAGTGCTCTCTCACACGGCCACGTGCATACAACCACTGAGAGGGAAGTCCTCACTGCCTTCTCGCGGCATTAATGTTGTTTACGAAACTGAGAAAACGAAAGGCGAATGTCTGGCAGGGGGCTTAAACGGGGTTGGTGCATATGGAGGATTCACCAAAGGCAGTTGGAAAACCCTCATTCCAAGCCAATGGTGTACATGGGTTCCAAGATCGAACAAATGGCGTATGAACCAATCGCTGGTGACCGGCTACCATGGGACTGTATCTCCTGACGTTGCTCCACTGCCTTGTAAATCAGACCTTCAGGTCGAAGGCTCTAAGTGTGGCCCCCTAAGAAAACCACGTGCTTCGATCTGGGCACACGGGCAGTACCACAGCCCTCACACAAATCAAATGAGATTTATGTGGCGCATGCGTATCTGGTGCCCCCTTGTACCAATATTTATATGTTCAAATAAATAAATAAGAATAAACAGATGTAATTAATTTAGAACTACATAGATTTAAAATGTATTGTGGTGTATGCTACTGATGTCAATAGATATAAGTAGTATGTATCATCAATCGAAAGTGAAATGTCTGGTGGCAGAATATTAAAAAGAACGAAGAGAAGAGAATGAGAACGGTAAACGATTGATATGGAGACGAAAAAACAATGAAGTCTTAGACGATTGATTGATATTTGCAAAAGGAACAGTCAAGTTTGAGACAATTAATTGAGACTTTGCAAATAAAGTATTTACTTTATGATTCTCAAATTTTACTAAGATGTTTTGTAATTTTGTATTCCTATACATTTGATTGACTCCACTTGTATTCTCGTTCACTACAGTGTGACTTGGAGAAGTATATACCAACTTGTAAATAGTTACTCCATGAAATCTATCCTCATTAGACATTTTACAGACGTAACATGTAGTTTTATCTTTTCGTTTCCAAGGTTTTATCATTTACCACAAGTCATAGTACTTGAAATAAATGAGCTAGATCAAACAATAGATAATTCGTATGTATTGTTTGCTGGGATCTTTCCATTGATATTACGGACTGTGATTGATTAATCTCTTTTGGTATTTGTGTATCCTGTGTGGATTGTCTTGATATTTTCACTTGGTCACAAGCATAATAAGCAGAAATGGATGGTGGTTAGCAATGGGATCCAGGACACGCATTTCGTTCTGTTTGGAACTATTCAGATATATGTACCTACATCTCAGAGTCGATGCTCACCCCGTGACTCAAGTAACCAATACAAACGAATTAAAATTCACCTCATTGCACAAGTCAGTGGTTACTTGAACTTAGTAGCTAAGGGGATGAGCTAAAGCAAACGGTACTGGGTTAGAGTTATGGAGTGGATGTCAACTTTAGGATGTAGACACGTTTGGCTAAAAAGTTCCAAATAGGACAAGACGCGCGTCCTTGGTTTCATTGCTAGCAACCATCCCTCTCTCCTTATGAATATCAGATAAGTTATAGTCATCAAACAATGCAATTAATCGTGAGTCACTCAACTTATAATTAGTAAACGGATGCGGATACTTTTGGCAAATAAGAAATATTCGGTTTTTACTCCAATAATTTAATAGCATACAAAACATAAAAGGGTTTTTTTGAACTACTTCTACGTCCTTTATGGTTACCATCTTATTGATTTTCACTAGCTGTGTTGGTGTGAGATATGATTAAATGGACCGATGAGCACTTTGTCCTCAGGTTCCAGGTTGACACCAACTCACAGATGCCATGGGTTGTGTACACAATAAATGTGCACTACCACATAGAGTGGATAAGAGTCGAAATTCTGAAGACTACTATATTATTTTAGGTTATACGCAGCAGTTACTGATTCACAAACTAGGGTCCTACTATAAACACATTCACCACAACCTAATTACAAAGGCGGAGGTTTCGTGTTTGAGCTTCGAGAAGTTGTGTTGCATATTTAACTATCCTCTACCATCTCTAGTAATTGAGTAGTAATTTTGTCTTGAACATAATAAGTATGAGTGGGAAAAAAGCTAGGAGTCACCGGAAAATATTGCTCGCATCTGCTGGGATCACCAGGTAAGTAATAGTGAGGTTAGACACAGGGTATTGGGGGATGAAGGTAAACCAGTTGATGAGGTTGTGAATGTTCATCGGCTGAGATGGTTGGGCTACGTGTTGCGTGTGCCTGAACACCGATTACAACGACGCACAATGCTGACTAGTGTTGGAAATGGCTGGAATTTAGGGGCGGCCAAACCAAAACGCGGCATCAGTGCTTGAAGTCACTAACTTCTAATCTGAGCCATGTTGGTAGATGCAGACTACTTGGTTAGGGGCCGCGAGACTATCGTAACCAGTGATCGGAGACTCTGGGTGATATGGCTCAGAATCGATCAGAACAGCGTCGGTGTGTATACTCTCTGTCTTCCCTTTAACTATGAGATTATAATCGCTTCATATCTTCTTTTCTACGTACTAAATCTTTCTTCCTCTACTATATCCTTATACACAATCTCTCTTTTATATATTACCATCATTGAATTAACGATGTCTATAAATTTAGTGTTCATCTTGCTGTGCTATTGAGGTGTGACAACTTAGACCGATGCATATATGTGCCTGGTCCTACATTGTAGCTGACTGACTGACTGAAAAATCTACTATACATTAAGAAATTGAAGCCCATGTAAATTTCAAGTTGTAACAATTTAGTCTACACTCCCGGAGGCGCTTCTCACTTTCCCCTAAATGCCCTGGTACGGCCGAGAGTGGGGAGAGTCCGCTCTCTCTCTCTCGAAATGCTCTCACATGGCCACGCGTATATAGTCTCTGCCAGGGAAGTCCTACTCATTGCCTTCTCGTGGCGGGGGTGTTGTTTACGAAAATGTGATGATTAAGGTCTTCACTTAAATTCTATGAGTCACAGGTTAATGCTGAAAAATGGTGTGCCTACTTTGGTATCACCAGATGTGATGTACAAATAACAATGGATATAACTAACAACTTAGTATACAGATAAACAAGAATTTTTTTGAAATTAGACTGCTACCAAGTCATGCAGCTCTTTGAGTTAAATTGACATATTGCCCCCCTGTGCTCCAATGAAAATTAATATAGTATGGAATACTACAGTTAATTTAGAAAACAACGTACCCAGTGTACATTAATGGACGAACAGCGAATTCAGGATGCAGCATTTTGTTTCCTTCTGACATCTTTGAAGTCTTCTAAAATGAAAAAACAAAATTCAGTGACATATGATAGAATCCATTTCAAGACCAAAGAAATAAGACAAATAATGATAAGAAGTACTGTTATCCTTATGTTTTTGACAGTAAACATGAATAAGTTATAAATTATAGTAAAACCTGAAAAAAAATTTTTTTTGCTTGTACATTTAAGCGAACAGTCTATACTAACACATACTATTTATTCATTGGTTATACAATCCTTGAATCTATCCACATATCATTGAGTTCTTTTCCGTTAAGTCTCCTATTGAAGTTAGCCACTGAAAGGCTATAGTCTCTTAGATTTTCGCTTTTTGATGTGCAATTTTTCAAGAGTTGCCTCGAGGAATGCGGTAATGGTGATGTTCTATTAGGATGTTGGTGTGACTTAGACAACTTAATTTGTTGTATGACATTATCAGATCACCACTTATTCTCCTATAGTTCAACGAGAATAATCCCGTGTTGAAGTTTATTTTAGTAAGACTTATTCTTTAGACATCATTCATTTAGTTACCCGTTTCTGTACTTGGTCCAGGGGATTTATAGCTCTTTTGGAGAGAGAGGGACAACATTACGGACTTCAATATGGAGCCATGAGTATGCTTTAAAGAGTTAGGAACAGTTCTGGGTTGATTGAACCAAGTTGTCTTAGTATAAAGTAGAGAGTTGGGTTCAACTTGACTGGATCCCTATGTGGTTTGGCTGATATCCAAGCTTCTGGTTTGTGGACGTGGACATCCTTGACTAAAGGCTGATCATTTGTCCTTACCTCATCTCGTGGTGTCGCCCACATGTTCAGTCGCGCATAAAACCACTCTGAATGGTGAGTGAAGCCACAATATGAGGTGAGGATGGAGAGCCCTCAAACTTAATAATTTTCTGGAAAATGATCACCTAGTCAAGGATTTGTACCTCATTATCATTTCCTTGTTCTATATTATTCCTACACTGTTCTTCCCACACTGTCTGCATTACCAACCAATTATTTACTTATTTATTTCTTGAAACAATTGTCTTCTCTCGCATCCAGACTTTCTTTATATTGCTATTTACACTGCACCCAATCAACCTCCTACATGTTAATTTGATAGCTGCTTATATCCAGGATCCCCACTGCCATGAAACAAACTCACTTAGTATCAAAGTAACCAGGATTAGTTTAATCGAGTGGCTAGACTAACGCGTTTTCAATATAACCGAAGACCTGGAACCATACGGAAACAAGAAGTGATGGCAAAGGAAACAATCAACTCAAACAAGCTCATAACAAAGACATTAGATATACTGCGTCCACATGGTTTAGACGAATGCAGGGAATAGATGAGAACCAAGAGTAGACTGCTTCATAATAAATTTATAACATTCGACCTACAGGAAAAAGCAGTGTTTAAATCAAACCTAACCATTTTATATTTTAACACCTTTATAACTATCTGACAACCCTTCCCATTTATCATTAGCGAGACCAATAGATGTTATAATATAGATACACAAACTTGGGCATGGTTACAAAGGAAAAGCGCGCAAATAAGAAACAAATTACAGAGAACTCTAAAGTATGGGTCGATGGTTTCAACTATAAAACCCTCTTATCAACCCAAAACAGACCATGTAGAAGCAAAGCCTCAACGTTTCAGATTTGATTAGGATACAAAATGAAGTCAATGTTTGGTTTACAGCAGCACCTTGAGAATTAGGGGAAAAATTAAGACTTGTATTTCCGTTTCCGGACTGTAGTGATGAGAAGAGTTTAAGAAACAAAAGACCAAAGCTTATCAAAACAGATGTCACAGAAAATTGGGTCCTTCGAAAGGGAACCATAAGCCGAGTCTGAAAACCAAGCAAGCCGTATTAAATCTTTAATAAGCAATGTACCAGCGGAAACAGTAACAGGAGCTAGCTTTCTTAGGCTTTATAGAATGGGACCAAAGTGGATTCCAAAAGTACACAGGCAAGCAGCCTCTCAAAAATTAGTTTCACTACTGCTAAGAAAGAAGCATTATACTGATTGGACTCAGAATATGTCTGTACATATTTCAACCTGGCTGACTGTATTGAGACGATTAACAGAGGCAGAAATAAACGAGCGCCGCCTGAACGGTGAAAACTTGTACCCCATAGCAGATCAAGTAGGCCGATTTTAACATATAGATTACTAAGAGATAATTTTGGACCTGATTTTTCTTCTCTTCCTTCCAACAAGATCGGTACAACTCACAAAACGAAAACCAATAACAAACAAAATGCTTGTGGCATGCAGGTTTTACACCAAGCCATCGCTTTTGGAACCTGTTACTCAAATAAGTTGCGTCTTCACCTTTAATTGACTCGTTCAAAAAAAGACATGACACTCAAGTAGATCTCAGTATTTTCGCAGACATATTTGGAGTGGTTATGATTAAGAGCGAGAGAGTATGACTAATATCAACCGAACACACCACATTAATTAATGACCATGATTTTAGACACTTACAAAGCAAACGTTCGAAATCCCGGGAGTACCGAAAGAACTTCAGCGTCCAATTCCAAACTCGGCATAGTTATTTTAAACTTTATCTGATAGAACCAGAAGGATGTTATCTCCGCACTATTTCAGCACTTCGGGTCTCTCCACTGGTTTAAAGTTTTCCTGAGTGCGCCGACAGAAACAGATATGGCAGCATGATGTGTAGCAAGCTTTTTGATTTGCATGTTAGTGAAGATCTAACTATATTTGAATAGATCAAAAGCTTGTCAACTAAGTAAGTTATTGACAAAACTACTAGCTACCTCGAGCCAACTTAGTTGCATATAAAACAGTTACATTTACCTCACAACTAAATGCCTTATTTCGTGTTTAAATCTGTCATAACAACGCAACACAGTTTTATTCTGGTGACTTCACTTTCGACTTCTCACTTGTGCCTTGCCGAATTTCTAGACCAATTAGAATTGGTCGTAATTAGTTAGACTATTTTAAATCCACATCTCAGGTCATTCCTCAACAGATTTTATTGGAAGAGCGTATAGTTGTTCAAGGAATCTTCTACATCCTGAAACACGTCTTTCATTTCCATCCAAAAAGCTTAAGAGATTATCAGTGGATCATTTTCACGTAACATCATTCAAAACGTTCGAAAGACTACAGTTGAGCAAAGTAGTTCACGCTCATACAGAAGCAACACATATTCAGGATTTAGCAACACTTTCGTTCTTAACATACTTATAATCAAGGTATACCAACACACCCAGGTCAGATATCAAGGGTGAATGAGCTCGAAGACGTATTTGGAAGACATTCGGTGTATTGAGAAGTGTTTGATTTATGTTGGCTAATAGTTGCATCGTATGAATAGCAGTTCATACCCGCTCATGGTTTGGTACTGATGTGTGACTGAGTTCCTTCGACTGGACTGTCCAGTAAAATAATGAGACTAACATAGACGTCGAAGGCTTACCGTGCTATGTATTTCAGGGGTTGATTAACCACTACACTTGCTGTAATTGACTTCATACTACAGCTTCAAAAGCACAAGCTTTAATGCGACTCCGATGAACGATTGCATATCCAACTTCCTGACAGCATGATAAACCATATTAATGGTCCTAAACTAGAGAAGCGTCTTATGCGAATGCCTTCTTGCACTCTTCAGGTAACGTGTTCGCTTCTTCACTCATGAACACTTTGACATTCTTTGTGGTGCGTTCACGAAACAGCATGATGTTATGTTATCGAACATGAATAAATCTCCTACATTACAGAAGTCTCTCACTTTTAACAGGAACTACTCCGATTCAGCGAAGCATGTGAAGTATTCAGAAAGCTCTTTTAGTCGTCCTTTGAGTATTGAATTCTGTCTTTCATGTAGTAAACTGAATTTTCATAGTTCATTTTGGTCTTGCTATACACGTTCCCATAAGTGTGAAAAAACTGGATAGTTCACCATAAGGATACTGAAATTTTTTGGTCGGAATCAGTTGACTAGGACAGAAGAAGTAACTCGTGACTTACTGAAAAATGCAGTAGCAACTCACATTTAAAGCGAAAATTGATTACTCGCACATGCAAGCTCTATCCGTTTACTGTTGGATTTGGTAACATAGAGTCAATTATTTCCGCGGGAAATTTGTTGTTTCTTTATGATGATATTCATTTGAAACCTAAAAGAAGTACGGTAACTAGTATCACTGACCATCAGTTACTAATCATTAGTACAGTTAACATTCCCTTGAGGAAATCAAAGATCCGGCATTACAATGTGAGTCCATTAAAAGTGGGAGATAAAACATTTGGAACTTCTGGTGATTACCACTTGAAACTAAATACTCGGCTATCGCAATACGGTTGTACCACTAAACAAGCTAAAGACGCTTTTCCACTTT